TGTGGTAAGCGCATCCAATATAAAGAAAAAAAACTTCTGACCTGTTCCACCTGGTAGTTTTCTGTGTGTCGAATTTCTTATTAGAAAACGCAATGCAACACAACACAAATGGAGTCTTCCTATACCGCATGTGACTCTCGATAACGGCGGCAAGGTTTTGGAAATGTTTTGAGGAAACCCGTGTCTTAATGTGGGAAAGATCATACGTATCGTATTAAGTAGCATTTCACCTCAGTTGCCTGGAATGGGAGTCAAATCTGGGATTAAAGGTTGGGGACATCGGCTTACTGTTACATAAGCCAGTGTAGAAGTGTGCTGGTACTGTGAGAACTACAGTAGAGTGACATTAATGGAGAATTTCACTGTGCTGGACAGGGGGAACATAACAGCCACCCTTCAAGACCTGAGGTACCAATTCTTATTATTCACTCTTCTTGTGTTATCAGGAGAAGTCAAATTGGTAAACTCATTTAGGTGATGCATATTAATTTTGTGTAACAGAGCTGTTAGTGTCGCTGATATCTACACTGAGGTTATGAATTTGCATGGCTTCTGCAGTGAAAGAAATATGATTAAATGCTGAGTTCAGAGGGGGAATTTTCTGTAAGTCAAACTAAGTGATAGTGAATTCATACTTTAGGGTGTAGTATTGCTCTCCTCGATACGCTGTATTTAACAGCTAAGTGCTGCTGTACTGACAGATAAAAATCTGACTTGTGCCAAATACGTTGATAGGTTTTCAAATGAAAATTATTGAAACTTCGATAAAAGGACAGTATTGTAAAATAAAACAACATTATATACAATTGCTAACATAAGTACTGGCGCCTGTTGTCTTTAGTTAATTCATTAGAACACTTTTGATTACCTTTTACTATGATGAATAAGAGGTGTTATTGGCATATAAGAGAATCTAATGCATGAAATTAATTTCTGAATAGCAGTGAAACACTAAGTGTCTGCTACAGGGAACCCATGCTTAAGTGTGCAGCTATACGATTTTGTTCTAAAACTAAACCAGAAAAGTAGATTATCGTGCATGGACAAACATAATCTTATAATTACATTGCTTCCCTTTACAGATCTTAGTTATAGAACTAAAAATAATTGTAAGCATAAACTGACATTTAAATGTGTCATTGAAATCGTGACAAAATAGCTAATTGTTTATTGCCAAGCTAAGAAGGTTATGTGTCCAGTGAGCTAAATGCTGTCTTAATCGGTAAATCTGAATACGAGATTCCTGAAGGTTAATTGAAAATAATGGATAAAAGAAAATACAAAGAAGCTAAGAATTAAAGGCAAGCACCATCAGAATGGTTCATCAGAAGTCTGAGTACCACTTCACAAGACCAGCACAACAGTTGCTGAGCAAGCTGAGCCATACATAAACATAGATCAAGGTTCCAAAGGAAGTTCAGGCCTTATTTTCCCCAATTGCTTCTAAAGCAGGGATCTGAAGGGCTCTTTTTAAAAGCAGGTTCATCCATGTGCAGATGAAAAGGCAGTTAATTGCGCCTCTGATGTTCTCTGCGGTGGCAGTTCCATCATTAGCTGGTGCCTTCCTGGGGACAAGGGTTCTTGACATGGTCGTGGAGGAAAAGAGCGCCAAGACCAATATGTGACTGAAATGCCGCCTAGAACAATAATCCAATGATCAAAATCACACAGCCAAATCATCAGTAGAGTTTCTTCTTATATATAAATTTGTCCGGTATGTTTTTTTTTTCTTACATGTATACACCCACCCTATTTTTGAACCTGCTGTGGTGTGTTTATCATATGTGGACTCGCAGACCTTTTGACCGCACACGGGGAGGAGAACGGAAAGGTAGTCACAGACTCCTCCACCCTGCCTACCATCGAGTCAGTCATCTTTTAACACGTTACAGACAGTACTGCCTCCTGCCAGTGTCAGTCGGGGCTGATTGGAGAAGAGACACATTCCTCACCAACAGCAGCACAAGTCTGCAATTACCCAAGAGGCCACAGGGGGCGCTGTGCTGTCGAGAGACCAGAGAGCCCTGGGTGACTCTGCCCTTGGGGAATGTTGGGATAATCCTGGTCACAGTCAGCTAAGGAACCCACAACATCTGTATCATAGAACCCAACCTGCAATGACTGCCTTTACTGGTTGAGCCACAACAAGAGATTCTAGACAGGAAAAAGGATAAAAGTGCTGGACTGGCCGTTAGCATCACCTGACTGTGGCTGAGGCAGCCAGGAAACCCACTAGTCTCCGTGTAGTGCAGTGCAAGACTCTCGCCCTGACAAACTGGAAAACATTTCACAGCATGGATGCTGAAAAAACTGTGTTCTGTGAGCAAGAACTAAAGAAGAATCAACTGAGTACTATCTTTGTGTGAATGAAGGCTCTTGTCCAGAAATATGGGTTTGTATTTTAATTTGATGTGAATACACATTAATGTCATACAGAAGTATAGTATTCACCTTTGTCACAATGTAAGGTTTGCATCGTTTGTACGGGAGAGAAATCTTTTGTCTTTAGGCATATTACTAAGGAACTTAAAATAACAAGCCATTTCAGTCTACTTTTGTTTGAGATGGAGTGAGCAATGGACTGCGATGTCAATAGAAACTCAGTAGAACAGAAGCAAAACCGTTTTAGTTTCCTTCCTTTCTTTCTGCCACTACATTCTACTCCTAGAAACCCTACTACTATTACTAATGACAATAATAACAGAAATGTATTTTAAAAATCAACTAAAAATTAGAAATTATCTCACAATTTGCTTTTTTTTCTCTGATGTCTGTTAATTTGCATCATTGCTCTGAGGACTTCTCAGTACGGCTTCTGACTTCCTCCCCTGAGTACTGTCTAATGTCAACACCAAGTTTGTTCCACGGTCAGCACCTAATGGTAAAAAAAAAATCTTCTTGCCGCCTAAACATTCTAAGAAGGCTTTAAGTTCCCTCTAAACACCCAAGCTTAATGTGAGAACGTTGTTTAATTTCCTGGGTTTCACCTTAGCTTTCAAGCATGTTTTTGTTTGTTGTAGGTGAGGGGAAAAAAGTATAATCCACAAAATGTACAGAAGCATATACTAATGTTTTGTATACAAAAGGCATTTCTTAAGCGCTGCCGTTATAGATTTTCAGCTGTAGTAGGGGTTTCCTAGCCGTGATTTTCCAAGGTGAAAATACAGTACAGTTGTTTTGTACGCTTTTTGTACGTTTTGTCTGATTAACTTTCAAATTTCTAAAGCCTCCTGGTTTTTGTGCGGCCCTGCATGCTGTGCAGTATGCGTTTCGATCCAGACTGCACGCGATATGAATGAAGGAGGCAGACATTCAGAGACAGACACACCAATGGATTCGTCTCGTGTTTCTTTCTTGTCACAGACGTCCTACATTCCGTCTCGTGCACGTGCCTCAGTCGCCACACATCTGGCTTCTGAAAGAAAAGGAAACTAAAGATTTTTGATCCAAAGGCGCTGACAGTTCTCGTGTATTAAGCAGAGCTTAAGTAATGGGACATTCATTTCCATAACGAGGGACGTTATCACCTCTGCTGTCAAAACACAGCACTGTTTTCTCTTCAGAAATGAATTAGCTGGCCTACTTAATGCACACAGATACAGAGAGGTTCATTACATCTCTGATTTGCACTATCCTTCATGAGATTTGGTCATTTAGTTAAAAGAAGACCAAGAAAAACGGAATTTATCTTAAGTACCAATATTAATTTCTTCAAGCTAAAAAAAAAGATTAATATAATTGTGCATTTCCAGGCCTAAACCATAAAAAATAACATTAGGACTCACGTTTGAGAAGGGCTGCATGTTTGATGGTGCCTCATGAGTTAGGAGCAGTGGGCTCAGTAATATTAATCATTTGTCTTAAATTATTATTTTAAGAAACTCAAAGTGCTGTCCAGTTGCATCTACATAATACACAACACAAAGTTTGCTTTTAGGAAAAAAAGCTCCAGGAGTTAAGCCTTGTGGAAGCGGAAGTGAAAAGACGGGCATTTAAGTCGTTTTCAAAGCGTCAACCGTCTCGAATGGATTCAGGCAGTGACAATCACAGACGTGGTGCAGCAGATGGGAGGCTCTGTTGCCCACTATGTGGGGAAAACCTGTTCTTTTTCCCAGAGTAAGGAGGCCAGAATCAGCAGATCTCAGGTTAAGAGCTGGACTGTACTCACACAATAAGACCTTCAGGTAACCATTCAGGACCTTCCAAGAGAACAAGAGAAACATTAAGCACCTTCTTACTCACAGGGAGCCACTGGACTTGTCCTATCAATCCTAGATATACTGAAGCCCATTTAACACCCAAGTAGATACCCCAGTAAGCAAGGCATTACAGCAGTTTAATCCTGGAGAAATAAAGACACATACTGTACTAGGTAGGGCCTGTTGTACATGATGCTATCAAAATAACATGTTTTGCTACCTTAAACTTTTTTTTTACATGCGTTGTGATTTTTTCTGCATTTATTAGACCATGAGAACATAAAAATGAGAGGAGGCCTTTCAACCCATTTAACCCATTTGAAAGACCCGCATAGAATACGAATGGTACTTTTAGTCCACTACACTTCTTTCTCACAGGAACTCTCTGGTTTACGTTGTCAGTCTTTCTACTCTAATCGGAGTGCGGCATGTCTCCTGGTTAGGACATGTTTATTTTCTCCACACAAGCAAAGTGGCTCCTAATGGCCTGCTCTTGTTTGTAACCTCTCTGACACTCGTATGCTCATTGTAAAGACGTCTAACGGTGTTCTTTCTTCTCCTCCTTCACAAAAGTGAAGGAGTAAAACGTTAGGTGAATTTACGGTATAAGTCTCAAAAGAAGAGAAATAATGAATGATTGACACTTGCTTCACTAAGGTGATGCGCAGCAATCGGTTGACAAAACGACGAAGGAAATCTGGCTGTAAAAGGGAACAAGGGTCTTTTGCTTGATTATCCCCGTGAGTGGCTCTGCTCCTGCAGCCAGTTTGAACACAGCTTGCCTCTGTTTTTCTGTTTCAGGTGTGGATGCTAGATTTTGTGAATTGAGCGGAGCAAGTCAAGAAGAGAAAGAGTGGTGGGAAGGATACTCGAAGGAAAGGAAGGAGAAAAATACAATACTTTGGAGATAAGGGAGGAAAGAAGACGGGGACTATGGGGAGAAAAAAGATTCAGATCACGCGGATTATGGACGAACGTAACAGACAGGTAAGCGGAGACCTCGTTGATTTTTTTTTCTAAAGCTGGCATTCAGCACCAAGGGAATGCGATTGCACAGGTGGGAGCCCTTCCCATGTGGGAGCGCTGAAGATGATCGGCTCTGAAGCAGCGTAGCCACCAACACATCTCCCTTTACGGCGCCACATCCGTCACGCGTGGCGCCATCTCCGTGGAATACAAATCTGGTAACGTGGCAGGTGAAACAGGCGTGCCAACTTGCAGTCTGAGCTTCTTTTTTAAACATTTGTAAGCACTGTCTCGTGGCTGCTGGGCTCTGGGTTCAGTTCTCCCAGTGCTCACGTGGTGTGCTCTCCTCCCATCTTTCAGAGACATCCAGGTTCACCTTGATTGGCTCCTCTAAATTGTCCCTTTGCAGGGTGTGTACAAGGGAATTTTGGATGTGAGCGACGGGATATTTATTCACTGGCTTTGGGACTGCAGAGGAATAGAAAACAATGAGCTCTGTGGCCAGATGGCCTCCTCTGATTGGTAGTATCTCTGATGTGACTTGCGATCTGTAAAAATGGCCCTCGTTATAAAGAATGAGTTCTGGCATCTTCCGTTATCATCTGTCTCAAGAGTGTCAAGTCTATCTTGAGGTCCCTGGTTTTCCTGCAGGCATCTAGTGGCTGAGCTACAGGTTTATGAGGTGTTACATTTTCCAAGAACGCATGACTTCAATCTTACACCTCAACCAAGATGCCAGTAAATGATAACGGCCACAAAACCATTATCAGCTATTAGACTATTTTTACCTTTGTTTAACCCAATAGTCTGAAGTCTTTTAAATCTAGCAGCCGTTTCACAATCTGCACGCATTTGAGAAGACATGAGAAAGGCTTGGTGTTTTCAGCAAAACATCCTATTTTCAGAAGTGTTTAACATGCCCAGCCTTGAGATCACTGGCTTTAGGTTACCAATACTGGCATAAAACATTGTATGCGTTACAATACAAAAAGTTTGAGAAATCTGTGTTCATGTTAACTGTGTCACGATACCTGATGTGACAAGAAAAATACAATCAAATAATCAATTAAAGTATTTAATTTTCTGTGCTTTAGATACAGTAGTTGCACTATCCATCCGTTTCCCATTATCTGTATATAGGAAATGTGAAGCTAAACAACAAGGCTTGATCCATGCATTAGCACTGGCATTTGAGAGCAAACGCCACAATGAATTATCAGCTTTTAATGAACAGCCTTGCCTAACGAATTTGAGGTTTTCAAGATGAAAAAAATGAAACAGAAAAGGCTGAAAAGGCAATTTGGTGCAGTTTTTTCTGTTTCTGCCCAGAATGCTCTCTCTGTTTTAAACACTTTATCTTTAGTTCGTATTGTAACATACTTCTTGGAGAAGCCTTGAATGAATGGAGGTCATTCTGCTCATCTGGTCCTGTTTCTTTATAGTCACCTGGTCAGTGCTGGTGGTACTGGGAACCAGCCCAAGAAGAATTAAATCCTCTGAAAACCCCCTATGCCTAACCGTAGCCCTAAACCTACCTTTAACCACCATGACAAGAAAATGCCTCACCTAGATAAATAAGTATTTCAGAAAAGATGCAAAACCACAAAACCTATAGTATTGTTCTTATTGTTAGCCTCGTGTCTGCTTTGAGCTGTAACGTGTTTCAAAGCCCAAAGCGTTAAATGTTTTGCGAAAGAGACGTAGATTTCTAACAGTTTTAATGACACTCTTTAAATTGTCTTGTAAACCTTAAAGGATTGCTGCAAGTTCACAAAACCTTGGGCCCTTAATATAAAGCCCACTCTTCAATGTTTCATCCAGTGGCCTTTCAAAACTCATTGGCTTAAAATCTGATCTAACATTTAAAATAAATAACTTAATTATAAAACACAAGAAGTCAATTCTGGTTTTTAAAAAATGGACTCCATTAAATGCAAATCTCAAGGGCATGCCTTATGAATTATTGAACATAGTCTGCAGAGGTCTGTTCAATGAGATTGCTGAAGTAAAAAGATTATTTTGAGTGTGCCATTCTGCCCTCAAATACCTAATATATTGTACAAAGGAATTAAACATGTGCAAAGTATATAGAGCCAAAGTTCTATAATATACTTGTGGTTGCTTACATTCTCAGAATGTCTTACATCTCAGTGTGCTGTATTTGAAAGACCGATATCCACATCGTTGTCTGTGGATGACAACTTCAAGACTCGCTTTGCGTGAAGTAGTAAAATATCTTTAATAATTTCTGAAAGCACATTGGCTTCAGCCAGACATCACTTATCTTTGGAGAACTTTTCCGAATATTGGTAAAAAGCAAATCCCTTTCAGCGTCTTTTTGGAATTGAACTGCCAGCTAAATGTAGAAAACATAGGGAGAATTGGTTTCACTAAACTAAATTGCCTGAAACCTCCCTTTTTGTCATAGGAAGACAAATTTAGGTCATCTTAGATTTAGCATGAAGAAACTGGTTTTTGAGAATCAGAGTATCTAGGCATGAAGCCTGTGGTATTTCAAAAAGAATACATTTATTTTATTAGCAGCTGTTCCCTTTGACAACATTGTTGAAGATTTTAAGCTTTAGTTTAAGCTAATCATGGCTATACAGCCACTACAGGCATTTGAGTTTTTCATAATGTATATTCATAATAAATCATGACTAGGACTCTCTGTGTTTTAAATACTAAATTCTGTTTGAGAAAATTGAAGGATTTATGATGGGTATAGTATTCATTTACTCCCAACAGGTCACTTATTACTTTAGAACCAAACCAGAAAGTAATACGTCCGTACTCTATTTGTTTTAATTGGTTTACGCATTAGAGTTGGAAGTCAGGCTGAGTTATTGAACTGGATGCAAGGTTAACAGCTAAAGTGAACTATGATTTATTTCAATTAAAGGCTAATTCATTAATTCATTCATTTTTAGCAAGTTAATACAGCATACATTAAGTTGCAAAAATAATAATTTGAATGACTTATATATGTGGTAATGCTTTTCTGTAATAATTTAGGGAAAAACATTTCTAAATGTCTGTCGGCATTTTTGTTTAATATATTCATTTTCTTCAGCCATGCACTTAGCATATCAAAGTTGAACACAATGGAATAATATTTTTGGTTTGTGTCCTGAGACCCCCCAATTGCTGGAAGATGAATGATTTACACGGCTAAAATGGTCCTTCTAACTGAAAAAGAAAAATGAAAGAAAACGGCACAATGTATCTTTTCATTCTGACAAAATTAGGACCTCTCATGCATAGCTTTGCATTAAAGCATAACTTGTGAGCCCCTAAAAACAAAGTTTTAGCCAATCGATTTTCTGCAGCAGCTTATGATAAACTGTCATACTCACATTATTTTCCTTCAATATGGATTTGCTGTCGGTCCGATTAAAATTCTACTGTAGATCAAACAAGCAGCAATGTGTCTGAAAGTGCACGGACACATTTGCAGTTTCCTTTTATTAGTACTCTCTCTTACACTTCATGCAACTTAATTCTGAAAGACCCCAATGTGTTGGTCTCTGCTGGCTTGTTAGACTATCGAAACTTAGTAGCTGTGGGGTAAGGTCAAAAGTTGTGATGCTTATCAGGCCCAGTTATTATATTTAGTTTTTTCCAAGTCAGATTAATTTTAATAAGATTATAAGGATCAACACCTTCAGCGCACTGGAATAAGAGCATACAGGTTCAAACTTTTAGTTTACAAAATAGTCAGGTTTTTACCCTAGCCCTCTAAACACTTTTCAATTTGACATTATGTCATTATCACTAAAACATGTATCTAAACATTCCTGCTTATGTTGCCTTTGTTCTTTGAGACAAACAGGAATATTGAGGACTCTTTTCTAAAACTGTTTTTATTCAGGATCTTTTTTTTTTTTTACATTGAGTTGTTTCAAGCTGTTGGGGAAAAAAGAAGCAACAGTAAAGTTATTTCATTAGCTGTCTTTAAGTTCCCAGCCATGCGAATCTCATAATAATACTGGAAGAACAGAAATTGTGTGATTTTGATCTGTGTTGCTGTAAAGTAAAAATACACTGATGAAACGAACAGACGAACAATGATTTTTCATGTTGTCGGATGATTTTGCTCCAGTTGAAATGCACCAGCTGGAATTGGTTATATCAGGCTTTTCTTTCGTCATCTCCCCTTAACCTTTTGTCTTGCATTGTTTTACATTTTCCCATGAATTCCAAATAAAAGTTCTCAGCTGGGCAGAAATAATGATTTGTTGCCTCTTACACCAGTCAGTCGGCACTTGAGAAAGCTCAGTGCACACCCCAGATGGCACGGTAACTTTTTTCACCCCAGTCTAGTGTTAGACTCCTCACGTTGTCCCTGCTGAGTTCTGAAAACAGTCGAGATCTTCAGTTTATTCAGAACAGAAGTCAGCAGCCTGCGAGGTGTTTGTATGAGAGTCCAGCTCTAGTGTCTTTTCTTGCCCTTTTGAATCCCCATTGTGTGTGTGTCCAACAGTGTGTGCGGGATATTTGTATATAAATGATTGTGCTGCATTTCGTCGCCCATTCTGATGTTTGATAATGATGTTTTGATGAAACTACCTGTGTTGTTTCCTTGGCTACTCATATCAGATCCGGGCATAAAAGATCTTGAGTTGACGTGGGTGGGTATTTGTGGGATTCTTTTAACAATTCATACAGGAAGTTCTGTGCAGCAGTCATGCTCCTCAGCTTTGTTAGAATAATATTTCACATCCTGTTAGTGGCTGCCTTTCGCAGTCCCCTTATCCCTCATTTTACTCCTTCTGCCACTTGAGAGCTCATACACAAACGCTGACCTGTTCTCAGTCCACATGATGCACAGCCTCGCAGTGACTTCTGAATGTCCTTCATTTTTAGTATTGGGACATGCAATTATGGTAGTCCCCCCCATTAAAATCCTTTCAGGTAACGGATTTAGATCCTCCCTATGAAAATGATATAAGCCAATCGAATTTCAGGTATATGGGCATGGCATTCCTACTCGCAAAGATAGGCGGTGCCTTTTCATTGAT